TGTGTTTGGCGTGTGTGTGGCGTGTGTCTGGGCGTGTCTGGTGTGCGCCCATGATGTGCCCAGGGGGTGTCCAAGGTGTGTCCAGGCTGGTTCCAGGGTGTGTGCAGAGTGTGTTTGGCGCTCGGGCCCCTTGCCTCACGTCCCCTTCTTTAGGACAGGCTCGCTTCGCCGATAGCGCGTCCCTGAGTGTCCCTTGGCGCTCGGTGTCTGAGGAGGTGCTTGGCGTTTCCATCCAGAACTGGCCCATCAGAGATCCATTACATCAGAGAGAAACCCCAATCAACGGATGGTTTTACATGGGATCGATCAAAAGATCGATAAGGAGATCGACCGGGAACCCGGGAACCCGGGAACCCGGAACCCACCGAAGTCGGACCCAGGAACCCGGGAACCCAGAACCAGAAACCCGGGAACCCAGCCAGCCACCAAAATCGGCGGCACATGTTCGCCAAATGTTTCAACTCCCGCTGGGACCCCTTCAATGCAAGCGCTGATTGGGGAATCAGGCCCAGTGCCGCTCCAAGAACTGCGCCTGGGCCTCCGAAGGTTCCTGGTCCTGCCCGTGCTCCCCCCTCCGATTACCTCAAGTGCATGACAGTCGGAGCCCTGAAGAAGGAACCCTTTTTGTTGGGGAGGGGCTCCGCGTTCCTTAAGTGTTTCACAGCTTGCCTCAGGTTTTACTTATGTCTTCGACAGGAAATTGAAGGTTAACTTATGGAAAAGAGGGGCCTCGTTCCTTTTTTGGGGTTCCTTAGGTCAACGCCCCGACTGTATGCCCTCCTGCCAGCTGCCGCGGCGGCCCTGGTGCTCAGCAGCGCTTCGATGCTGTCGGGGTGCTCCGGCGGCCGATCGGGGCACCGCGTCCACCGTTGTGCCTGCGCGACGCAGTGGCGAGTCGTCGGTCGGAGGTGCAGCCCTCGCATTAGTGTTAAGTCGGGCCTGTCCCTCTACAGGATGAGTGTCCCAAAGTAGCTTTAAAAATAGTATGGGGACTATTTTCGAGTATTTGTGAGCATGTTTTGAGTATTTGAGTTTTTGTATGGTTCTTCCAAAATTGCCTGTAGGGGGACACGCCCGACCTAACAGTAGTTGCTCGGTGTGCGACGCCCGCTGCCGCCATGCAGTCGGGGCGCTGAAGAAGGAACCCTTCTCGTTGGGGAGGGGCTCGGTGCTCCTTGGCTGTTTTACAGTTTGCCTTAGGTTTTTCGTAGGTTCGTCATGGGGAATCGAAGTTTCACTTATGGGAGAAAGGGGCCTCGTCCCTTCTGTTATGGTTCCTCAGGTCAACGCCCCGACGGTATGTCCCATGATGCCACTCGTCTATCTCTCCTCTCCATGCTCCCACTCGTTCTCCTCACCCGCTCGCCGCCTCCCCGTCCTCCTCACCCCCTGTTGCTTCGCGCGCGTAGGTTCGCACAGGACCGCGTCTTGGATCGCAGGTGTTCTGGTCCGTCGTGCTCCTTCGTTCCGTCCGTCTTCCTGCCCTTCCGCCTCCCTCCCTGCTATACTCTGCCTCCTCCTCCTGTTCTCGTCCTTCTCACCATCCATCCTTCCTTCTCCTAGGAGGGAAAGAAACACACAGACACCATGAATCGTCGAGTCCCTGGAAAATATGGGAAAGCATGGGAGGCGGGGGCAAGACAAAGCCCCTGAAAGCACGGGAAAATATGGGGAATCCTGTTATTTGTGTGCATTTGTTTGTGTGTCCCTGGGCCCCTTCGTTCCCTTCTTCCTCACCCCTTCTGCTGCTCAGGCCCCCCTCCTCCCCGCCCCTCCCCTCCTGTCCGGCCTGCCTCCCTGGACCTCTCCCCCCCGCTGCTTCCTGCTTCGCCCCTGCTCCGCCTCGCGCCTCCCCTCCCCTCTTCCCTCGCCGCCTGCTGCCGCTGCTCCTCCTCCTCGCAGGAGGAGGAGGAGGAAAACCACAGACACAATTAATCGTCGATCTCGCAGAAAATATGGGACAACATGGGAAGTGGGGGGAAGATCAAAACCAAGAAAATATGGGAACATATGGTGGATCCTGTTGTTTGTGTGTGTAATTATTTTTGTGTGTCCCAGGGCCCCTTCATTCTCCGCCTCCTCCCCCCCCGCTTTTCCGCCTTCCCCGCCGCCCCCTTCCCCCTTGTCTTTCGCACGGAGTGCTCGCCGTTGCACCGGCGGTGCCGACGGGTGGCGGGGCAGGCCAGGCGGGTCGCGTCAGACTGTTTCCTCGTGCTGACGCGCCAGTCGTTGAAAGTAGGTATTTTTGGATTTCCAGATCCCAATCTACTTCAAGCGCCTTCCTACTTCAATCATCGATCTGCTTTTGCTGTGGTTTGCTGTTCTCTGGGAGGGACCGAGCCCAATCTGCTTGATCCGCCTTCCTACTTCATGCTTTTACTCACTTCTCCCGACCGACGTCTATGTGCCCGTCGCACGGGTCAAGCAGTTGCGAGGCGTCCTGGCTTGCATTTGGGCCCACCGGGGAGTGTTCTGAGAGCCCTCTCTCGTAGCTTGCACCGTCTGTTCTCAGAGCGTTTGTGTGGCCGTCCGTCTCGGCTCCCTGTTCTGGGAGCGCTGGTTTCGTTCTCAGAGCCCGAGGGAAACAAGCAATGACATAAACATAAAAATTCGGAGGTCCGCGCGGACTGCTCGGATCGGCACTGGACCACCACCCCTCACTGGCGCGCGGAGCGCGCCCGGGGCGCCGCCGGAGGCGCCGCCAGAGGGCCCCAGCGCCGATCCGAGCAATCCGCGCGGACCTCCGAGTTCTGATGTCTATGCCACTGCTTGGTCCCCTGATCGGCGACTTCGATCGGTCACGTGATGCGAGTCGGAGGAGGAACAGGAGGAGGATATACAAAGAGGAGGAGGAGGAGGAGGAGGAGGAGGAGGAGGAGGAGGAGGAGGGGGATCTCGTGGGGAGGGGGGAGCTTGGCATCGCGTGACGAAGTCCCTCTGCCTACCCGAGTCTAAGGTTCTGTGGACCTGTCGTGGCAGGCCCGTGGGAACGCCGGGACGGTCGCCCCCTGCTCTTGGGCGCGGGTGGTGCCTAATCCTCGTGCGAGAGGCTCGTCGTGGGGCGGCTCGTCTCTTCGCGGCCCTCGCGCCGGGGCTCGCCCTGCGCGCCGCGCGCGTGCGCGCGGGCAGCTGCCAGCGGACCCGCGGGTTGTGGGCCTGTTTTCCACCACACCACCACCACCACAAGCAGGAGAGGGAGGGGGTCCTCCTCTTCTGTTTCTTCCTCCTCATCCTCCACCTCTTTCCACCACTCCAACTTTTGGTGGTGGTGGTGGTGGAAAACAGGCCCATCAACGGGCGCAGGGGTGTCCGACGAAGGCATCTGTAATCAGACATGGTCGCGTCGTGAACACATCAGGACGAGAGGTCTTTGGCCATGTTCGTCCCCGGCCAGAGGAGCCCTCGCCGGGCCTCGACGCCGTCAGAAAACGACTCGGGACGAAACATTGGCCCCCTGGGGAAGGATCGGGACTTCAGGGACGCCGTCCTGAAAGAATCAGGACGTCGCAAGTCTGGGTACACCACCACCTTGCCAGGCCAGGGCCATCCTGGGCCCGAGGATGGTGTCATAGACCCTCCTGGCCTCGGCCAGGATGGCACATGCACCACGCTGGGCCAGGGCCATCCTGGCCCGGCGCGGCGGTGGTGTATTAGATGTCTTCTGCGTATCGGGGAAGCGTGAGACTCGAGTAAGCCGGAACTCGGGTCTGCCGACGTTGTTTGACGAGCGCGTCCTGGATTTTGACGGCCCAGTTTTCGTTGGATGTCCGCAGCGGGAGCTCGCGTGAAATTTATTTTCATGATGGCCCCGGCAGGCCGACCCGAGTCCCCCAAACCCGTGTCTTACTCAGGAGGAAACAAATCACACAGACACAAGTGTATCGTCGATTCCCCGGAAAATATGGGAAAAAATATGGGAAGTGGGGGGGAAGACGAAAACCCAGAAGCTATGGGAAAGTATGGGGAATCCTGTCATCTGTGTCTATTTATTTGTGTGTCCCTCGGCCCCCTCAAATCCGTGGGCCGTCAGCAGGCTCCCTGGGGTCGAGTCGGGCGTGTCCCTCTACAGGGGGAATCTTTCAAAAATGGTTCAAAACTAGTACGGGGACGATTTTTCGACTATTTCTTGAGCATTTCTAAAAAACTCTTTGACTTTTGTTTTGCCTTTTCGTCTACAATCCGCCTGTAGGGGGACATGCACGACCTAAGGCTTCTCCTGGGCCACCGTTGAAACATCTTTGGGGCAATGTGATCGTTTTCTTACTCGTTGTTTTGCCGATCGGCGCGGGCCCTCGCACCCTCCCCCTCCCCGCCCTGGAGCAGATCTCGGCTGTTTCTGGCGCCTGCTTCGAGCAGGTGGAGTCTCTCCCCCAGAGACGCACTGCTGCAAACAGTCGCACTAAAGCGGAGATCCGGAGCCAGACCCCCCCCCCTCCCCCTCCCCATCCCGCCCAATGTCATAAGAGAATGTTCGCCAAAGTTGGGCCAGCCGTGTTGCGATCCTGGGGCGCGTCTCGGGGGTCCGTCTCGGGGGGCCTCTTGGGGGCCGCGTTGGGGTCCTGCTGGGTCGCGTTGGGCGCCCCCGGCGGTATCTTGGGCCTCTTGGGGCTACCTTTCGGGGGCGGCCAAAAGGGGGGCGATGATTAGGGGAGGGGCGGATCTCATGGCGGGGACCATGGTATCTCCCCAGATTTCATGGTGCCTCATCCTATTTCAATCTGCCCCCCACCCCCGGGCCGCGCGCATGCCGCTGGCCATGATTTGCTCCCCCCACCCCGCCCTCTTGTGGACACCACCCCCCCCTCTTGGAAGCCCTCGAGCCTTGGGGTAGTCTTGGGCAATCTCGGGGACTGGGGGCCGTCTCGAAGCGATCGTGGGACATCCTGAGAGCAGAACGTGGGGACAAGCGCTACACCTTGACAGCGCTAAGCCTCTTCAATTCTTCTTCCGCTCCTCCAGTCATGCGCTTCCCGCGCTCGTACCCGCCCCCTCCACGCCAG